GGGGGACGCCAGCACGCTGCCCCCCCGCCCCCCCCCCCAGGCATTTGGCCCCGACCACGGGGTAAAGGGCGGGCCACGCACCTGGACCAGGACACTCTCCTCGGAAATGGAGCGCGCAATTTCCAGCTTATGAGCCTGCTCCTCCAGCTCGAAGACCTTGGCCGCCAGCCGGCGGGACTGGCTGTCCAGGGCCCCGCTGCGGGTGAGATTCTTCAAGAAGCCGCCCTTGGCACGGAGTTCATCCCGCTCGGCGAGCAGCTTCTGTGCCTCGGTGGTTAGCTCCTGCGACCGGGTGTACAGTCGCGCGCGGGCATCCACCACAGCCGAGATGGACATGGCCCGAGGCCGGTTGATGAAGGACCGAAGCAGGTCCAGGGGCAGGCAAATCAGGCCCACACCGCCATACAGCATCAGGAAGACCATGCCAATGAGGTTGACAATGGCCACCCCATAGAGCAGGGGATTGATGCGGATGCTGCCAGGGGAGCCCGCCAGCGGTGTAAGTACTTCGGTGTGAGGAGGGTAGACATATTCGGGCAAACGGGGGCCCGGGCGGCTTATCGCGCGAGGAGGAGGAAGATAGAAAAAAAGAAAAAGAAAGAAAAGGGCCCCGATGGGGCGCGGAGAAGCAGAAGACCCAAGCCCACCGGCGGGCATGCCCATGCCGGGATACGTACTACATGAAGCGCGTCCAGGCCAGGCAGTCGCCGGCCGCAACACAAGTGGCCCGGCCGGCCACCGTCGAGCCGACACTCTCCAGGAAGGCGGTCGGCAGCCGCGAGTAGCCATAGGCGTAGTAAAGACCACCCACAAGAGCCACCAGGGCCAGGGTGAAGGGCAGCGTCCACTTGAGCGCATGGAAGAGCTGTTTGGATGCCCCGGCCGAAGAGCGCCCCTGCGAGGCATTCTTCAGCACGGTGTCCACATCGTGCTCCGGCTCCTCCAGGGCATCATAGTGAAGGAAGGCCAGGGGGATGAGGAAGGCCAGCAGGAAGAGCGACAGGCCGTACGCAATCAAGGTGAGCAGGTAGACCGGGATGAAGGGGGGAGTGCCCTGTTGGTGCGCGGGCCAAGGGGAGGCGAGTGTCAGGAAGGGGCCACGGTGGCGGGGGGGGGGGGGGGGGGGGGAGGATGGTCGTGTGGTCGCATATGTGCACATACCACCGGCTTGCGGCCTGCCACATCCAGGGGCAGCAGCAGAATCATGACGGCGCTGGTGACCGCGGCCATGATGCACACCACCTTCGGGAACCAGGCGGCCTTGCGCTCCAGCGGGTCTTGCAAGTGAGCCAGGCCAAAGATCGACGCGACGATGATCAGCAACAGGAAGACACCCGTCACCACCGTCAGAACGATATCACCGGCAGTGGCCATGGTGGGGGGATTTGCTTGCTTTCAAGCTGGAGAGAAGGCTCCCAGATGTGTGTATAAATATATGCGCGTGTATACGTATGCGTGTGTGTGTGTGTGTGTGTGTGTGAGGGGGGGGGAGGGGAGGGGGAGGGAAGGAGGGAGGGGGACTGAACGCGAGTGTTAACACAGCACACGTGCAGGGGGAGGGGGGAGGAGGAAGAGGACTGTCCGAGCAGGTATGACACCTGGTGCCAATCGGCCGGGGTTCTCTTGAAAGTGGGGGGAAAGGCCGACCCGCGGAAGAGCGAGGCGAGCCTATCGCCCCGGCAGGTCTTCCGGGCCTGGCGCCTTCCGGCTGCTTTCGATGAAAGGATTGCCATCGGTCCGGCAAGGCAAAGAATGCACCCCCGGTCCAAGGAGCAATGTTGGCCCCCCCCCCCCCCCCCGGCCGGGGGAGAGGGGGCTTCCGCTGGGCGCCCATCGTGCCGTTTGCTCTTCGGACCCGCCCTCCCCTGGGGGGGGGGGGGGGGGAGTGTCCGGCAATCGGCTGCGGAATGCCAGCCGCGTTCCCCCTGGGGCGGTTTTCAGCCGCCCCGCTTCTTTGCCCCGCCCCCTCGCCCGAGGGCGCCGAGGGCCGGGTTAGCGCCCGGGCACACGGGGCACAAGCGGCAGCCGGCGCGAATATCCTCCCTGGCACCCGCCCACCCGCTCTGTCGGGGGGGGGGGGACGGCGGGGCGCCGGGCTCTCATGGCTGGGTGCAGCCGGGCGCGCACGGGCGGCCAGGCCGCGGCCCCGGGCCGGGTCCAACGACCCGCGGAGGGCCCGCCCGAGACCCGGGCCACATGATTATCCAGATGCCAACGAATTCTCGTTCTCCTGCCTTCGGGCGCGAATGGCGTATTACACCATGGGGGGGCGGGCCGCAAGGCGCCGCGCCGGCATCAAACATCTTCGCTCTCTTTCTCTCTCTCTCTCTCTCTCTCTCTCTCTCTCTCTCTCTGTTTCTCAAGTTCTCGGCCTCGCTCGCCCCCTGCTCTCTCCACCGCCCCACTCAACTCGGGCCTGCGGCCTCGGTGCATGTGGCTCACACGGAGCGGGCTCGGCCGGGGGCGGCCGTCGCGTCGGGCGCGATCTCGTTACTGCCGGCCCTTGTCCGTGTGCCCTGGAGGGCCATTTTTCGGCCCGAGACCCACCCGCTGGCCGCCCCCGGGTGGGCGATCTGCCATGTCAGCCTCCCGCACCCACCCTTCCCTTTCCTTCCCTCCTCCTCCCCTGTTTCGCCCATTCCCCTCGGCCCTCCCTCCCAACGGGACGCTCCTCCTCCTCCTCCTTCCCCTCCCCTGCTGCCAGCCCCACACGCGGGCGACTTCGCGCGTGCGCCGGCTAACGCCGCCACCCCAACCACCCGACCGCCACCATGCATCGCATGCTGAAAAGTGCGTCCCCTCGCCGGGGCTGTCCCTCTCCCCCCTCCGTCGGCCCTGCGCGCAGAGATCGCCCCACCTGGACGCTTGTCACTCCTGCTAACACCCAGCCCCACAGCCCCGGCCATGGATTACGTGGAGTTCATGCGCCCGGTGGCCCGGCGGCGTGAGCCACAGGCCGCGGTCTTGGCCCTGCATCCCAAGGGGTCGCTGCTGGCCGTGGGCACCGGGGCGGCCGGGGCCTCCGGCACCGCCGACGCCGGAGTCATCGCCCTGTGGGACGTGGCGAATATGACATGCGCCGCTCGCTGGAAGGCCCATGGGTATGCGTTGGAGCCGGCGGTGTCGCTACTTCACCCTGGGGCCGGTGGCGATCCTCCGGCCGGCTCGCTGCCGGTGACCGTCCAGGATGCCCCGGTGCCCCGGGCCCGGGCGGGCGCCACTCAGCCCGCGGCGGTGCTGGACCTCAGCGCATGGGCCGCGCGCCCGGTGGCCGGCCCGTGCGACATTTCTTGCCTTGCCTGGTCGGCACGCGGCCGGCGGCTGGTGTCCGGCTCGAAGGATGGCCGGGTGCGTGTGTGGTCCCTGATGGACCCGCCATGTGCGGCCGGTGCGCAAGCCCGGCCTCGCACCGGCGTCATCTGTGTTCCCACCTCCAAGTCGGCCGGTGTCGCCCGGCGCCGAGGCCATCCCTCAGGCTGCGGCTCCGGGAGCGACGCGGCCCGGGGCCCCGGCCCAGCCCCCGCCGGATGCCCCGACGACCAGGAGCCCGCCGACTCGGATGAGAAAGCCGAGTCCGTCGATGAGGAGGCGCTCCCCGGGCAGTCTGGCCGCTCGCTTCAGAGTATGCTTGTGCCATCCTGGCAGCCCAACGGCATGGCGGTCCTCTCAAGTTGTGACCCCCTGTCGCATGTTGTCCGCCTGGTGATGGACATCCATGTTGGCGCCCCGGTGCTGGCTGTCGGCTTCCAGCCGGGCGATGTGTGCGTCGTCCCCCTCCCCTGTTTGGGTTTCTGCCTCTGCTCCCTCACTCGCCCTGTGCCTCTGACATCTTTCTGCGCTTCCCTTGCCTCGGCCTCGGCCTCGGCCTCGGCCTCGGCCTCGCCGCCGGTCGACCGGTTATCCCCGGGGCCGGGATCGTCCTGTGGCTTGCTCTCCCTTTGGCACAGCAACACGGTGGTCATCTCAGCACAGGGCCGCGAGCCTATCACGGTGGATGTTCACACCGGCGCCTTCGCTCCGGTGTTCAATCGCCCTGTGCCAGACCCCACACTCCCCACGGGCCAGCTCGGCCTCACGCCGCCCATCTACCTGGCCAGTGGCCGCAGCTATGGGGCGCTGGCGTTCGACCCGACCGGGTCGACCCTGCTGCTGGGCGACAGCCGGGGCCAGGTGCACATGGTCGAGTTCATGGGGCCGATTGCACGGCGGGCCGCGCGACAAGCCGCCCAGTCCAAGCCCGACAGCCTGGCCCTGTCGTTGACCGGCACGGCGCGGTGCCTGTCCCTGGGCCTCGGCGCCACCGGCGCCGTGCGGGACTTGGTGGTGGCTCCGAGTGGATCACGCTTGCTGGCAGTCACCCAGCGCGCGGTGCGGTTGCTGGATCTGAATGCCGGGGCCCTGCTGGCACCCGAGCCAGGCGCATCCCGCCGCGCGGAGCCGTTGCAATTGCAGCACGCCTTCCAGGACCCGGTGGATCACTCGAAATGGCTGACAGCCGCGTTCAGCCACGATCTGGAGCATGTGGTCGGCGCGGTGGCCGACCCGACCCACCAGCATCGTCTCTTTGTGTGGGATCGCATGGAGCAGTTCCTCCGGCGGCAAATCCATGGCCCGAAGGATGGGCTGCATGGCTGTGTGGTGCGCCCCCCTGCCTGCCTTTCTCACACACACACACACACACACACACACACGCACGCACACTCTGCCTCCCGCCTCGCTCCACGCCCTTGAGTAGACCTGCTTCACCTACGCTCCGCCCATGCGTCCAACTCACCGTGGGCGCCTGTGTCTCCCCCTCCCCCTGCTCGCTGTGCCTGCCAGTGGCACCCCTCGGAGCCGGTGATGATATCTCTGACGTCAGCGGCCACGCACATCGGGGCGTCGAGTATCCCGCGTGCCCGGCGTGTCATCCCCCGACAACTCATCTTCTGGGCCGCCCCGGCCGCCTCGCAATTCGCCGTGTTCATGCCTCTCTTCCGGGAATTCCCGGGCAATGTCCACTACATCGAGAGGGAGGACGAGTTCGACCTGCCGCCGGCCGGGACCATGTACTTCGCCGGGACCGGGGCCAATGCCACCGGACCCTTCATAGATATTGACATCACGTCGGCCGCCGCGGCGGCCGTGGGCTTGGTGGAAAAGCTCCCCGCCGCCGGTGATGTCCTGTCGGCTCCGGCCACCATGGCCGGCGAGGCCCCCCTGCTGGCCACCTTGGAGGCTGCCTGCGCCGCGGAGTCCGCCGCTGCCGAGTCTGCATCCGAAGTTGAGCTTGATGTTGAGACGGTGCGCTGCCCTTGCCACCCTGCGTGGCCGGGGATTGTCCTTTTTTTTGTCCTCCCTCTCCCGGTCTCGTGTGGTCGCCTCTCGCCTCGCCTCCTCTCACCCTGCCTCCTCTCACCTCGCCTCCTCTCACCTGGCCTCGCCTTGTCTCATCCTATCTCGTCTGGTCGGCCATGGCCTGTGGCGACCCTCCATACGCTGATCTCCACCGCCGTGCCTGCGGCATCGACGGTAGGTGGACAATGTTCCGGATTTCGACCTGGCATCCATCGCCACGGCCGTCGGCGAAGACCCCTGCGATGCGCCGCTGGACAACATCCCGGCCAGCTTCGCGGCCCTCTGCGCGTCGGATCTGACCGCCAGCCGGGTGGTCCTCCATGCGGCCGGGGGGCCGGGGCTGCGTGCACGTCTGGGCACCGGCTTCCTGCCGGCGGCCCTGGCATACCTGGCCCTGCCAGCGGGGGATTACGGCGTCGAGGTGGACATGTACAATGACGAGCAGTTCATCGATACGGATGACGCGGCGGTCTTCGCCGCCACCGACCCGCTCCCATCCAGCCGGCCTCATGCCTTCGTGCTGGAGCGCTTCCTCGGGGCCCTGGACCCCAATGACCAAGTCCTTGTCCGACTGCCCTGCTTTGCCGGGGTGCGCTGCCTGCAGCTGGAGTGGCTTGATGGCCCGGAAAGCGGGCCGGCCGGCGGCCCGGCCGGTGGCCCGGCCGATGGGAAGCGCACAGCCGCCGCCGCCGCCGCCGCCGCCTCCAAGCGTCGAAAGAAGCGCTGAGGTGGCCCGGCCCCGGCCAGATGCGGGCCCGCCTGTCCTTGTGGGTGCGTGCACCAATACACGTCACGTGCCAGAATAATTGTCCTGCCCGGTTCTCGGTCTCGTCCCTCTCCCTCTCTCTCCCTCTCTTTCTCCCCGGCGTCCAGGGGGGGGGGGCGATGCGGCGGCAGTGGGGGTGGTGGGGGGCGGGAATGCGGGGCGCGGGCTGGCAGATCGGTGGCGGCCCCCTCCCGCGCCGGGGGTGTCCTTCGGTTGTCCCCTTTTCTGGGCCCCCGGTTGCGCGGGGATCGCCCTCCCTGCTGGGTGGGTGACTCGGGTTACCTCACTTTTCTCTGCCGCTGTCTTCCACCGTCAGCGCCTTCCCTCTGTCTCCCTGGTCGCCTATCTCCCTCCCTCCCCGTGTATCCCCTCCCCCCTCTTCCTCTCTCTCTCTCTCTCTCTGTGCATGTCTGTGTGAGTGCGTGCGTGCGTGCGTGCGTACCCCTGTCCCATCTCCGATGACCGTCCCTCCGCCTCCGCCCCCGCCGCCGGCCAGCGCGCCGCCGGCCTGCCGGCCCCGCCCCGCCGGGCGGCCGGGCATGACCCCGGCGGCTGGTGCTGCGCTGGTGGCCACGCGCACCCGCGAGGCGCGCCTCACCGGCCGTCTGGACCTGTCCGATTGTGACCTGATCAGCCTGCCCGTGTCGCTGTTCATGATCCTCAGCGAGGTGGATGAGGGGGCCCCCGCCCCGAAGCCAGTCACCTCGGTGGACCTGAGTGGCAACCGAATCCGCGACATCGGGCCGCGCATCCGCGACTTCGACATGCTCCAATGTACGTCGCCCTCGATGCCCGCCCTTTCTCTCCTCCCCGCGCCCGGCCCTGCTCGCCCCTCTTGCGTGGGTTCTCACCGCCCCCTTGCGACCTCAGCGCTGGATCTGCGCAACAATCGCCTCCGCCAGGTGCCCCTCGAGCAGATTGAAGTGCGTCTGCCACTGCCAGATGGCGACTCGCCCTTCCAGGCGCTGCGGCATATCGACCTGCGAGGGAACCCCCTGTTGCAGGCCGAGCCCAGCCAGGAGGACATTGCCCGGTTGCGCGCCACCGTCAGCGATCTCGAGGCCCGTGGTGTCGTCCTGCTGGTGGATCTCCCCGGCCAGTAGCCAGCTGGCCAACGGGTCCTGCCCATGGACTCCCCCCCCCCCCCCCCTTCCAATCTGTCTCCCCAGTTCCCCGGAGCCCTTGGGAGCGCGAAGAAAGTCCCCCTCCTCCCCTGGTAAAAAGAAAGCAAAAACAAGCAAAGCACGCCTCCCCCCCCCCCTCCCCCCTCCCTCCCTCGCACAAGGCAACCACATGCCCCTAGTGTACAAGTTTTCTATTGACGAGTGCGCATGTGCTGGATCGGGGGGTGACATGGTCAAATACATGCCCGCCTGCCCATGGTCTCATTGCATTTCGTACGCCTCGGTCGAGGCATGCGAGCTCGAGTGCTGGTGTTCGGACCGACCGCCCCGGAGCTGGCCGGTGATCAGCTTCCGAGCGTCGGACATCAGGCCAGCCAGGCCGGACGGGCTGCGCTGATCATCGGCCGGCTCAACCGGCCGGGCATGATGGACACTGGCCAGCTGCGCGTGCGAGAAGTTGTCCTGGAAGAGGAAGCGCTCCTGGTCATCGGAATGCCGGTGGAAGTAATCGCCCTCCAGGGGCTGCTGGTGCAGATGCGACGCCGGATGCTCGAAGTCCAGGTGGGGGTGGTAGCGCGAGTGGGATGGATGGGCATGATGGTGGTCCGGCACGCGGATGAGGTGCTCCGTGTCGGGTTTGACGATGATGGCCGTCTCGCGGAGGGTGCTGTCACGCAAGTTCTTCCAGAACCGGTAGACTTCAACGGGCAAGGGGGAGGAAGGGGGGGGGGGGGCGATAGGTCGCGGCAAAATACATGTCAGGAGCCAGGCACCGGGGATGGGCTCCAGCGAGGGAGGGTTGGGAGTGTGTGCGTGCGGGAAACAGGCGTGTATGCCTGGGCGTACATTGGAGTGTGGCCAGCAGGTGGATCATGGCACTGAGGGTGGCCAAGAAGAGAATGATCGAGTAGGACAGCGATGCCGAGTGGCGATAATGCTGGATGAAGATGGAGTAGACCACCGTCAGGAGGCTGACGTTGACCAGGAAGAAGAAGAGCAGGAGGATCCAGTGCTACAGTGTGCGGGCGCGGCTGGGAGTAAGTCGGAAGCGTGCAAAGGCCCGGCCAGGGGGAAAGAGAGAGGGGGGGGGGGGAGGGGGGCCGGCACATGTCCCCGGCGAGGCCCTCGGTGCGCGGCACAGGGCAAAAGCAAAGGGAAGAAGAAGAAAAGACCGCAGCAGCAGGCAAGCACGCACAACGAAGGCATAGAGCACCACCCGGCGCAGGACACAAATGTACCCGATGGACGCGGTGGCCGCATGCAGGAAGTACATCAGCAGCATGGACACCAGGTACGGCACAGCCGAGACGCTGCCATCGCCACCGACATCCGGGCCGCTGCCGGCGGACCCCTTGTCCGAGCGAATCTCCAGCGCCACGAACACCGCCGACACCAGGACCACGCCGATGGTGCTGACCTGCAGCAGGGCGTTAATGACGATCAGCAGCCAGCTGCTGGCGTCGACTGTGGGGCAGGGAGTGTCAGGCGACGTGGACGGGGGCGAGGTGGGCGAGGGAATGGCACACGGGGGAGCCAAGCTCCCGGGTGCGGGGGGAGTGCGTACCCTTGGAGCCATTGCGTGACTGCTCGAAAGTCAGGTCGATCTGGTAGCCCTTGACATTGGGCGGTGGGTGGCTGCGGAGCTTGCGCAGCCGGTGCATGGACCGGATGTAGTTGACAAAGCGCGTGATGCTGTCCAGGATGGTGGTGAAGGGGTACAGCAGGTAGTACAGGAAGGACCCGTACTCCGGCCACTCAGGCGGGTGGGGGTCATGGAAGGCAAAGTGGTGCGATACCGAGGCGGACTCCTGATTGCGTCGAGTCTGTGTGTCGGCATCGCGCACGCTGGTGCCGGGGCCGGGGCCGGGCCCAGCGCCGGTGCCGCCGCCGCCGCCGCCGCCGCCGCCGCTCAACGAGGCCACGCCATTTGTCGGACTGGCGGCCAGAGCGGCCGCCGAACCGGAGCCATCAGCCGCCGAGGAAAGGTGACAGCCACATTGTGCGCACTTGTGGGAGTGCTGGTACAGCGATGATGGCGGCAGCACCGTGTGGTGGGCAGGGCCGGTGCCGCCGCCGCCGCCGCCGCCACCGCCACCAGTACCGCCGCCGCCGCCGCCAGTCAAGCTCATCGACCCGGCCGCCGTGGAAAGGGTATCCTGCGAGGAGGCATTTGCCGGGGTCGTGGACCCGCCGCTGCCGGCGAGACCCGATCCCGATGAATGCTTGCCGGCTGGCAGCGGCGAGTCGGCCAGCTGTGCGAAGAGCGGGTCCTTCGCCAGCCGGGGCGATGGCGACATGGGAGCCTCGTTGGCGGTGGCCGACGAGGGGTCCTTGGTCATCGCGACGCTGTCGGTGAGAGGGGGAGGGGGGAGGAGGGAAAGGGGAGGGAGAAAAGGGGAGGGGGAGGGAGGGGGAGGGAGGGGGGAGGAGGGCGAGAGGGGGTGTGTGTCCCCTCTCGGCTGAGCAAGTGGGGAGGAGATAACCGGGGCGGGCGGGGGAGGTGGAGAGATAGGGGCCTTGGTTAAAAGGCGTCCCTCCCTCCTTCGTTCGCGGGACGGGCGCCCCGCCCCGGTGCGCGAAAAAGGGGGACAGCATTTTGGGAAGGGCGCGGCCGGGCGCGTGAGGGAAGGGGGGCGGCGGCGGACGCGGGCAATTATTCCCGTGCGCGCGCGCGCGCGCAGTGTCTTCTCCGCCTCCCCGCCTGCCGATGCCACGGCCGGGGGGCCCTTCCAGTGGGGGAAGGCGAGAGCAAGGGGTATTCCGGCTTCAGCCTGCGCCGGGGCGATCTCGACCGTCAGTGGAATTCCGACCCGCGAAGGGTTGGCAGTTGCCACGGGACGCCCGCGCGCCCGCCCCTTCCCCGACAAGGCACGGCGAGAGAAGGGCGAGAGAAGGGCGGGGGGGGCGCTCTCGAGGCTGCCCGTCCGGGTGAGAGGAGCGGGGAGGGGGGCCGAGCGGGGGACTCCGGCCGACAGGCGGGGGAATCTGGAGTGTCGGATTGGGGATCACGCGCAGATCATGCGGCCCGGGCCGTGTCGCCTCCCCTCGCGTCGCCGCCGCAACTACCGCTGCCAAGGCCGGGGGAATCTTGTGTG